CCCCATAACACCACCAATAGCCACAGCCGGTCGGATGGTGGTAATAATGATGCAGCAACTATCCAAGGTTACGGGCCAAATCTCTTTTAAAAGGCCTCGCCGATACAGTAAAAGTGCACATTCACAGACACCAATAAAGAAATCCGCAGAATCCCTCAGATCGCTTGACCATCAGCATCAAGTACAGATAAAATAAGCCAGTGGATAGCTTTCTCAATGAATCAGAATGAATAAATACCAAAACCTGCCACAACACCAACCTGTTGTGGCAGGATCTGGTACCAAGCTGTTCCAGATTCAAGAACTCTCCACCATGCAGCACTAATTGCACCAGCTCCACCAATACGGACGCTGGACTGGACACTAACCACTCCAGCAGCACCAAGGAGCACCAGCTCGCGCGCCTAACGACACCCCGGATAACTCAGTCCCTGCTCGCCGCGATCAGATAGGCACGGGCAAACGGCCCTGAACCGGGCAGCGCGGGTTGAGGCAGGTGGCGCTGTCATACTCCGTGCCCGTGCCCGTGTCCGTGCCGTGGCGCCGCGTCGGCAGCCCCCGGTGGAAAGGAGACCGTGAACGAGCCCCGGCCAAAGTCTGCCGCCCTGCTTTGTCTCAAGGACAAACTGATACCGAACTAGCCGTGTTGGAGATAGCCTCCGCGGCCCGGGTTCCCAGGCGGCGCGGCAGACTGGCGGCAGGTCGCGGCTCTATTTCTGTGGCGTAGATAAACCGACGGCCGGCTCACGACTCAGCCGTGGTCTGAGCCGCTCGATAGCGTCACCAGAGGCTCACGGACGCCGATGACATCACTGTCAGCCGACGTCGGGCAGTCCGAGCTCGGGAAGGGACCGTCAACGTTGGTGGCGATCCTTGGGGAAGTCGAGGGACACCGACTGGACCTCTGGGGACATGGGACAGACCTCAATAGACACCAGCGGACCACAGAGGACATGGCCGGACCTCTGGGGACATCGGACACCCTGCGGCCGTCACCTCAACGCCGGGAAAGTGGCCAGCCTTGAGCAGGGACACATCATGACTCACGACTAACGTCTGTATAGACTCGTACCACTGCCCCTGTCGCCCTGCACACATTCAGCGCGGCGCGGCGGCCGATAAGAGCCGATACCACCACCAGCGCCGGCCCCGCTCACCCCTGCCCACCGCGACAACCGCCGGCCCTCTCTCCATGGAAACTCCCCACCCGAACCGGACCGGACCTGCGGCCAATCTGCGCAGTGCGCAGGCCCGTCCGACCCCCCCCCCCCCCCCCCCCAGCGCCGCCCCAGCCGCGCGCCTGGCGTCGTCCCTGCGCCGACAAATGCCGCACAGTACAGCCGACGCCGCGGCGCGCGGCACTCTTCCGACTCATTTGCAGAGTCGGATGAAAATCAATATGGCGGCTTCTCGGGCGAGTCGGCGGCGGCACCACCACCTGGGCAGCGGCGGCGCGTCGCCAGGGGGCGCGCCGGCCGCCTCCCCAGCCATTCTCGGCGGCTTTCAATCGATGACGTTCCGTCAGCAGGCCAGCGCGGCCGGCCGGGCGCCCGCCGCGCCGTACACCTACCTGGCAGCTCACGGCGCGGCCCGCGCGCGGACACAGCGGCACCTGTCGGCGGCAGCGGCTGCGCTGGCGAGCCGGCCGACCGAGCGGCGGCGGCGGCGGAGCGGCGGCCCCGCCGACCGAGTCCCACAGCTGATCCCAAGGCCGCCCTGGCGCGGCGCCAACCGGGGAGGGCGCCGAGTGGCGGATCGTGCCGCGGGCGACACGACAGAGCGGCGGCTGCTCACACACACCCGACCTCCGCGAGCGGGCGATCCTCACCGACTGGGCGATCGGAACGGAGCGAGCGCGACGGAGCGGCGGCAGCGGCCAGACGACACCGACGTATCCAGCCCACTCGGCTAACTGGTGCATCGGTCACGTCGTGCTGGCAGCGTGCCAGCAAATCCGCCCCGACAGTTGGTGGGAACTTATTTTAGCGAGCGTCACGCAAACACCACGGGCCGATGGCAGCCACGACAAAGGACCAGATGCGCCATCCCCGGCCTCAGGCGGACCCGTTCACGGCGAATTTGCCGCAAATGCGCCGATAATCGCGGCGCGACGCGATGCCGCCGCTTCGGTCCGTGACAACAGAAGCCGTGGGAGGGAGAAAACGCGTACTATTCGGGCGGCATCGGCATGTTCCAAGGAGGTGATTGCAGGTCGGGCCAGGCGGGGCGGGCCCGCGGCGATCGCACCCGCCGGCCGCCACCGCCGCGTCGGACCCAAATGCGCCAGCCGCCCCGATAGCTGCGGCGGCGGCGAGGGGCGCCAGATGGGATGGCGGCGGCGGCGGCGGCGGCGGCGGCGGCGCGCGCGGTACCGTAACGCGGTCACCGGCCGGAGACCGCAGGGAGTGCGGTGCGCGAACCGGCGCCACCGACTGGTGTGCCTGAACCTGAACCATAGAGCGCCGCCCATGAGCCCGTGCCGGGCGGGACCTGATGGAAAAAAGAGGATGGTGGTGAGGCTATCAGGATTTATGGCGCTTCGAGTGCAGACAGAGATCATGGGCGCTCATAAATGAAACTGAACAGGATGGATAACTCTGAATGAACGTGAAGGGACAAAGCAATACTGAATGATTCTAACGGAGACAAAACAGCACACAATGCTTCTACATGGGCTGTAGGAGTCACTGGAAACAATCGGCACAGTGCACAGACCAGCTGACTAAATTTAAAAGGACAGATCACTACTTACTTCACACGAAGGGCAGCGCTTTGCCTCTTGGACGCGACAGGATACTGCTTGCCAGCCCTGAGTTGACTGAAATCGTCCAAATCACGCCCACAAATCTGCCAGTAATGGTGACTCAGTATCACAATCTGACGAAATATTCCCTCCAGTGTTTGTCGCGATGGGTATCCACTGACAAACCAGACCCAGTGGGCGGGTACTACTGACAATATTACACACGGGACATCACGACTGAATTCGATCGAGCGATGCTGCTGCCAACCGATAACTTCAGGAATACCGCAGACCGCTGAATATTGAAGAGCGAAGATCGAACTGCTGACCGCTTTGCCAGCAACCGAGCCTGGAGAAGCGCCACTGACTGAACCACAGAGAGCGGAGCATCAGTGACTAAGCCTTATGGGCCACCGCTCACAATGGCTGGCTCACTGAATGGACCTTGAGAGAGGGATAATGTTGATTTAACTGGACCGGGGGCACTACTGGCTGAATCTCACGAGCCAAACTTCCCGACGGAGCTAACCAGCCGACACGGGGCGGCGCGGGACGCAGCTAGCTGAACCGACCCATCCCCAGTCTCCCTCTCCCGGCCGGGCTGGAGTCCGGCGGCTGACGGCTGCTCGGCAGCGGTGGCCGGCGGCGGTGGTGTGGCGCCTCCCCAGCCGTCCCCAATCAATGCAGGCCGACAGCTGAGCCGCCGCCATCGGCCGGCTCTCCGGCGCCGCCGGGCGGCGGCGATAGCGACACGGTAACCGGATAGAACCGGCAGAGATTCCGGCACGCAGGGCAGGACAGGGCGGACCGCCCGCCGCCAGAGCACCGGCACAGAGACGCAGACCCGGCCGGGCCGCCGCCGCCGCCCCTGACAGTCCCGTGCCGAAGGACACGGGGACCGCCGCAGGCAGGGCGTCCGTCCAAAGGTGCGGCCGGATCAGAGGGCTCTCAGCGGCGCCCCTGACTACCCTGAGACTTGAGAGGCATCAATAATCACTGGCGCCCCTGATCTTTCCAGCGGCGCTCCTGAAGACTACTCTAAGGCATCCCTGAACATATAGGTACGCCTTCGAGCGGAGCCACTCATCAGAAATTCTCCAGCCGCCGGCCAACATCCGTGAACCTCCCTGCTGCGGCGCGCTCTGAGCAGTCGCCAACAAAAGTTTCCTGCCGATTTCCCCGAACAGCCGGGAGCCTTCACCCGGCGCCCGGCTCCCCCAGAAACGCCACCGCCATCTATCTCATTGGGGCGGCGGCGGTGGAAAGATTCCGACAGCGGCAGCGGCGGCGGCCGCCTGTCTGTTATGCCGCGGCCGCCACACGCCGATGCTCACAGAGCGCATGCCCGGGCGGTCGAAACCGGGCCGCCATCGAACCGACGGCGGCGGCTATCTGGCCATGCGGGACGGCACGGTCGCCCTCCGCCCAGCCGGCGGCGGCAGCGGCGGCGGCGGCGGACCGGTCCACCTGCCCGGCCGGCCGCGGGGGAGGCCGCCGCGCGCCGCCGAATCAAGCCGTGAAAGCTCGCTTGTTTCGAGTTGCGGAGAAAAGCCGGCCGGCACGCTGTGAGGTGAGGTCCAGGGGAGGGGGATGGGGAGCGGCACCGGGGAGGGAGGGGAGGGGTGCACAACATGGCGCCGAGGCGGCACTGGTCGGCGCGCCGGGGGCCGCCAGCTCAGCCGGCCCGGTCCGCTCGGTATAAATACACTTCCGCCGGCGGCCCGGCTGGACATGGCGGACCGACCGACCGTGCGGCGGGCGGCAAACGCGAGCGACACGGAGCGGCGGCGGACGGAGCGAGCGGCGGCGCCCTCTGATGGAAAATCACCGGCGAATGAGCGGCCGCCACCACCGACGAAGCCAGAGAAACAACAGATGCGCATCGATAGGGCAGGAACACGGCGAACGAAACGTGCAGGCCTGAAATTGTACTCATGTATCACAGAGTTTCACAACATGATGAAATTACCATCACCATTCACACTAGTCCAAAACCATCGGTCAGATACTGGCCTTACATCGACCAGGGACAACTAACATCCTCAACCTTCGCAAAGTAGCCATCCACCAAATCACCTAACATCTCCCAAGGAACGAGGAGAGCCCCTCAGGCTCCGCTGGGACGACACACGACCCAACTTACACCGCATACAGTCGCCACGACACGACACTCCCGTCGGAACTAACCAGCACCACACTGACCTAGCCACGCGCCGGACAATTGACCTAGCCTCCACCCAGCCGTCTCTTTTCTCACCTGGTGCTGCCACTCCAGAGCTGTTGGTGTAGAACCGTCCCTCACTCATACTGCTTCAACCTGAGGACAACGACAACACTCAAAACCTCGCCACGGACGCCCAATACACACAGAACGTCGGATGCAGCGCCACTCAGGCGGCCACGGGACTGAGAAAATGACCGTCAGTTGGCGCTACCCCTGCATTACACCCGGCCGATCGATACGCCGGATCCAGACCACGTCACAAACAGGGCGGCGGAGCGCTGCTCACGGGCCGACCGAGCGGCGCGGCACGGTCCCCGAGCCGCCCACGGCACACAGTGGGCGGCACTGAATCAACGGCCGCCTATCGCCGCCCGGCGAGCACCGGCCAGCAGCCCGTCCCCGCCCGAGCCCCAGCCCGCCGCAGCCCGTCCCAGCCCGGCCGGCGGCGGCCGCCCGGGGGCTGAGTCACCTCAGACCACCTCGGCCGCCGCTCGGCGCTCCGTGCTCGGCTCAGTGACCTCCCTGGCTTCATTCCGGCGCGTCGTCCCGATAGAGACGAGCAGTGGCGAAACAAAATGGCGCACCGCGCCGCCGCGCCTCTGCCTGCCCTGAGCAGCAGCGGCGGCAGCGGCGGCGGCACTGGGCGGGGGCGGGGGCGGGGGCGGCCGTCCGTCACCGTCCGCCGCCGGCCGGGCGACGGACGGACGGACGGACGGCTGGCGGGGCGCCCAGTGAGCCGCCGCAGCCGCAGCACGGCACCGGCAGCTCACCGCGACTCTCACCGTTCACCTCTGGCCGTGACGGCGCGCTGAGCCCTCCACAGATCGCCACCGGAGCTGGAGGCCGACACGCTCTGCGGCGGACCGGCGCCGCCGACTGCCGCCCACGGCTGTCCGCCGAGCGGCGCCCGTACCGGGGAGGGAGGGGAGCGGGGGAGACCAACCCCACCGAGCCGAGCGGCCGGCGTCACCTCTGGCAGCGCCGGGGAGGCGGCGACACCGGCCCGGCCGCGCTCAGCCGCCGGCGGCCACTTAGTATTGATCAGCTCGGCGGGGCTGCGGCCGGCGCGCCGCGGCACGGCGCTGACGACCGGTGACCGCCGCCCGGCTGGGGCTCACGGACAGCTCAGTGCCGAGCGGCGGCCACGGCCGGCCACCGACCGGTCCGGCGGGCGCCGCCAGCCGCATTCCGGGCGGCACGACCTGCCCGCCTGGTGGGCGCACGACCACGCGAGCCGGCACAGCTGCCGGCCGCTGTTCGAGAGCGACCCGCGGCGGCCGGCGAGCGGCCCGGCGCTACCCGCCTCCCACGGACAAGCGCACAGCACCGCCCGTGCCGTGCGCGGTCTCACGGGCCGTGCGGGGTCTCACGGACCGTGCGGAACTCACGGGCGGTAATCGATGCCCGTGATTCGCCGCCATGTTGTCCCCGGTGTCGGCCGTCGGCAGATACCGCCGGCCGCGCCGCCATTGTTTCTGCTGCGCCGCCGCCGCCGCCGCCGCCGCCGGGACGGGTGACGCGTCAGCGGCCGCAGGGGCGCGCACAGGCGCACCGCTCGCAGGAGCCGCCCGCTCACCACCTGGCACGGAGATGGGAGCGGAGACCGTCCCCTGGATAGAGAGGGGGAATCTCCAGCACGACCCTGGCCGAGAGGGACCTATCTGCAGGACCAGCACCCTAAAAAACTAGCTCCTGAAGTTCTGAGGTTGCCTTCCGTCTCGCTTACAAAATCAGCTGATGCTTTCCACTATCTCCACCTCCCTGGGTGCTCTCCTGTGGCCGCCTCTGCCGTTTCCGCTTCAAAGCCGTACTAAACGAACGTCTGCTGGCCGCGAGGGAGCCGGCGACACCAGCTGCGGCCCTTGAGCCACCACCGGCGGCCCCTGGGAGAGGTGGCCGGCGCGCCAGGCACGCCCCGAGCCGAGGAGAAACATCGCAGCCGGGCAGCCGACAGAGGGCGGCGGGCGGCCGGCGATGTATGCCAACCGGCGGGCACTCACACGACCTTGTGACCGCGCCGGGCGCAGCTGCGGGAAACTGGAGCACTGGCTGGCAGCGCGGCGGCTGGGCAGTGTAGACTCGCACTGCGGCCGGCCGACGAGTCCGCGCTCTGACGCGGTACCGCTGCACCGAACGGGGAGCCGAGGCCGGGAGGACCATGGCCGCCGCGCGCCGAGAGCCGCGCCCGTCACGATAATGTCACGTGACGTTGCCGTGTCCATGCGGTGACGTGTCCCATCTAGCCGAGATCCTGTCCGGTCCTGGGGCCGTATTCACGTCGACTTCGTAAGTCGATTTTCTTTCGTAAGTATAATTTGGTATTCACGTCGACACTTCTTAAGTTTTTATCAACGGAGTTCACGTGATTAAAAAAATTTACTTAAGAAGTAGGTCAAACTTAAGAAAATTCTTACGAAAATGATCGACGTGAATACGGCCCCAGTTCTGTCCGGTCCGGTTTCATCAGTGCGATGCAATGCAAGGGCAGACCATCCACATCCCTGCCGGTCGGCACCGGAGCAGCCCAAACCGCCCGCGCTGTGCCGCCGACCCGCCCGACCGGTACAGGTCGTGACCTGGAGACCGACCGCGTACACACGGCCGGCACGAGCATCCTGCCGCCGCCGGCCGCACTCACGGCACTCGGCAGGTCACGGATGACTGCAGGTCACGGATGTCAGAGTGAGATCACGGACCGGCACGGCGGACCGGCAGTGGTTCCCCGCTCGCTACCGGCGGACGGAGCCGAAAGGCCGCTGTGGCTGTAGGAGCTGAAACCACGTCGGAAATTGTCTGCTGAATGCTAGTTGATAAAGGATTTGTCTTTCAGCAAGCCAAAGTCGTTATCAATTTTCACCCTTGGAAATCCATGAATCAAACTATAAATCCCCGCACCTCAGGCAGCACTCTCCTGCAATCCAAAACAGGGAACCACGCCTCCTCTGAACATTTACAAACCTTTCCAAAACGTTCAGTCTCCCGTAGAATAAAACACATCGCCGCCGCACACCTTCTCACCAATACCACTGCCGTCCGACACCGCCCAACTCTCGTATGTCCCCTGTCTGTGTCCGGAGCCTCCCACCAGTCCCGTCCCGGCCAGTCAGTGCGGACAGGACGGGGGCCCCGATAAGAGGCCCTCACTGCCAGTACACACAGCTGATAACGAGTGCTGTTCAGCAACAATCGACTCAGGCAGCAGACAGACGCTCTTCACGGCACTACCAAAGTATCGTATAAGCAGGACCATGGCACGGAAAAGTATGACCATTGACGGCGGTGTGGGCACTGTTACGAAGAAGTGGGAACGCGGCACCACCATAGTACCCACTACATACCGGGTGTTCCGAAAAAAGTGTCACGATTTTAGTCACGTGCGATTTCCGTAAAAATTGTCCGAAATAGTTTGGCTTAAGATATGTTGCTCACAACCCTTGTCGATTTTGGTGGACAAAACGGTTCACCAAAATCTACGATGGTTTTCTCGCCAGAACAAAAAATCAAAATCGTCCGATTATGGTTCGAGACGAAATCGTACGTCACCGTCCGCCGCCGACTTCGACGCGAGTGTGACATGGAAACTCGAGATCTGCCCTGCAACAAACTCATTGCAAGGTTTGTTAACCATTTTGAGACAACAGGTTCAGTCCTGAATACTCACAGGGGCAGCAGCGGCAGGCCAGCATCGGTTTCAAAGTCCCCAGAGACCATCGCGGCCGTGCGAAATTCCGTCATTGCCAGTCCCAAGAAGTCGCTCCGTCGACGCTCTCAACAGCTCGGACTTGCTAAAACCACGGCGTAAGACGCATCCTATGCGACGAGCTAAAACTGTCATCGTACATAATATCCACCAGACATAAGATGACGGATCGGGACAGGCAAAAGCGGCAAGTCATGTGTCAATGGATCTCCAACAAGATGGAGAGGAACGCGCGGTGGGTGAACCGAGTCTGGTTCTCAGACGAGGCTCACTTCCACCTGAACGGTGCGGTGAACAACCACAACAACACTTTCTGGGGTAACTCACCACCGGAAGAAGTAACGGAGAAGCAGCTGAAGGGCCCGAAGGTCACTGCCTTCGTGGCCTACAACGCCACTCACGGCCTCCTCGGTCCCTACTGGTTCGAAGAAGATGGCCGGACCGTCACCATCAATGGCGAGCGCTACCGCGAGGTCATCCGGGAATTCTACGCGGATCTGACCGATATGCTCACCGATAACCAACTGCAACAGGCATGGTTCATGCAAGACGGAGCTCCGCCTCACACTGTGCGTGAGAGTATCGAATGCCTTAAGGAGCTGTTCAACGCTCGCCTCATGTCTCTCGGCACCGCCCATGAGTGGGCTCCCCACAGCCCTGATCTCAACCCGCTAGACTTTTGGCTGTGGGGGGGCTGCCAAGGACACTGTGTACGCAGGCAAGCCCAAGACACTGGTCCAGCTTAAGCAGAACGTCGAAAGATACCTGCATCAAGTCGGTCCCGAGACTCTGACGAAAGTCGCTGAGAGTTTCCAGGCCAGAATCAAGGCGTGTCTCAACCGCGGTGGTGCCCATATCGAGAACGTGAACTACAAGAAGTTCGCGTAAACTTGTGATCGCAGGAACTCCTCTGCCCTCTGGCAAGGAGTTATAGCACTGATACGAGAGTAACCTTGTTGAAAAACGACAAACGTGAGCTTTCATATGGTGTATGTTTTAATGCGTTAATACTTGTCAAGCGTTTATAATACACGTTTGAAACTGTGACACTTTTTTCGGAACACCCTGTACTCCGGTACCGCTACAGTACCGAGTACCGACCCGTGGGCAATGCACGACAGTGGGACCACGGCAGATTCCAAGGTTAAACCACACCACGGTAGCACCAAGAAACTACAGCAGCAGAGCCACGATACCGCCAAGATACTACCACGCTGGACCATGGACCATGGTTTGATGGCGTCTGAAGAACCCGACCGGAGGTGAACAGAGTGGCCGCTGGTACTCGACTGACTCTCCAACAACCCACCTAGGCAGGAAAACAAATAGCAGCTCTTTCAATGATCTGGGTTTGCAAAAATATGCACGACACATTATTCTAACATCACGCAAGCAAAACAAAAAACAAGAACACCCATGGTTTGCAGCCTTGATTGATGAAAACCAAGCTTCCATGTGATTCTCGAAGCACATCGAGCACAGATAAGGTACCGTTCCGCTGCTATTCAGCTACTGGGTCGTCAGTTCACAGAGGCGGGACCGGTGGGTAGATCGGGACCAGATGGGTAGCTGAGGCGAGACGACTGCCAGGAAAACTGGGGGTGATACTGAGACCATGGTACGGGACCAGGACCGCGGACCAACCGAAACACAACAGTGCCACAAAAAGCAATGAGTGAACAAATAATATGCTGGGGATACATGATAAATATGAGGCGCCAATCGATGATCAAGCGTCTTTAGTTGGGTGCTTCCATTAAAACGAACAATCTGTGCAAAGCACAGCAGTATGAGCGTAAAGCCTAGAAGCCTGAGTGTGTTCTAGGCCAGTGACAACCCGGAACCATCACTCCAGTTCGACTCTGAGCTGTGCACTTTGCACTGCACCGTGCTACAAGCTCCGTCGGCGAGCAAACTCAATATGCACCAGCTGATGACGAATTCCAAGGTCGCCTTGTGGCTTCTAATCCTGCGAAAGACGAGGCAAGTGGAGTGCCCGTTTTCCTGTGCAGGGAAGCCTCCACTTCCTTTGTAGCCAGAACAAACAATATGACCAGAAATAGCAACACAATGCGGAGAGCCGAACTCCCAAATTTCTTCAGTCAACACCACCACGCGTCGAGAATCATACAAATGATCAAACAGAGCATCCGAAAATAATGAAAATATATGCTGAAGAAAAGCGAAGTAACATCCACAACCATAGAGATCGGAAAGGCGGATGCGGAAATATAATTTCATTCACCTATGAGGAAATACGTTCAGTTAGACCAACGCTAGCGCAGCGCCAACTTTCCCGCTCGTAACCCTACCACTGCCATCAAACGGACTACGCCATAAACATCGATCGAAAAAGTTACGCCTCATCGCGTCATGCAGTCATCGTACACATAAGGCACATCAAATCCCGAATACGTCCCGGCTGTGAGTTTAGTGACGGTGTGCTTGCCCCGGGTACATCGGGCCTTGGAGTGCCTTACTGAAACAAACTCCGTTTATTGTGGTATGTCATAAAGCAATCAATCAAACAAAATCAATTAATCAACGGAGTTTTCAACAGCGAGATCCCATTGTTCTAACTCGGTTGAATAATGGTAACAGCCCATCTAACACCCCAATGACGTCATAAATAACGAATGACGTCATAAATAACCGGCAGTGGATTACGGTAGGCCGGCGACGGCACGACGGCGATAGTTCCGACCCCCTCCGCCAGGTGTCAGCAGTGAGATGTTGCCGTGGCAAGTTTCCCAACATGGCCTATGAATAGCCGGTACCGCTCTCTAATAGACAGGCCAAGCACACTCGACCCGCGGTGTCGCGATGCCTTTGTGAGTTGGTGTCACATATTTGATAGGGGTGGTAGTGTTGATCTGGATCTAAAATTTCGCCCCGACAACCCTACACGAACTTCCTAAAATATCGCAACAATCGGAATTACTGGGTTTTCTTTGCGCACCAAAAATATGTGAGCTGGAAAGCATTAAACTCCTACCAAGAAACCAGTTGATAGGAATGCTAACAGATACTTCACAGAAAGTAAGGTGTAGCATCATCATGTCTCCCTCAGCAGCCATCGAATCACTGAGATAATTATCACTTATCGGAAGCTAAATCGGTATTACACTATATAAAACTGTGAGTCTCTGTTTTGGCGAAAGACCCGCTTGATCAATACCTCATTACAACAGTGACTGAAAATAGCATTCCCGCAAGGAGCTTCGACGAACGCGAATGTATGTACTATGAAGCTTAACAGACTTTCGTAACCATGCAAAACATCGCTAGCTGCTGGTTTAATAAATCTAGGGACAATCCGAGCAGTTGCATCATTATACAATACACATTTTTAGCCCATGAGGGCATCGATGAAACATAATTTAGTACTACCAGACCCGATAAAAGGAAGTGCGTACTACACTCCCGCTGTCCGTATACAGTGGAGTTGACAAGGCAATATAACCCGTTGACTTGTACATGCACAAACGACACCACATTCCAGTGCCGAGGCGGAAAACCTGCGCAGAACGGAGCCGTCGTAAGTGAAATCGCGCTACCGCCGGCGCCCGGGAGCGACACAAATGCAGGCCAGTGACCTCCCATGAACCGGCAGCACGCTGGCCTCGCCCTCGCGCCACCACTATCTCCGGAGCGGGCCCTGCGCGCTGCGGTCCGACCGGCCGACCGTCCGCGCACCGAGCGCCATGTTTATACGAGACGATCGGAACACAAACACTCGGGCCGCATACAGACACACACACGTACCGCTCACACCGACACACAGACAGACAGACAGACACCGGCGGTCGCCGGCCCCGACCGCTGCCACCACTTTCTCCGCCGGCTGGGGGCGCGCGTGCCCGCTGCCCTTGGCGGCTGTCCCGTATCCATCGTCACCTACCTGGCACCACCGGCAGCGCAGGATACTGGCAGTCCGGCCGGCCGGAGCGCGGCCTGCCGCACCTCAGCGGACAGTCGCCCACCCGACCCGCAGTCCGGCCTCACACGAGCCACACCTCAGAGTCAGTCGCCTGCAACAGCAGAGACGCAGCGGCACGTCAGACGCAACGGCGGCGAAAAGCAGCACACACCCTCCCGCTCGGCGCCTCGCGCGCGACTGACGGCCGGACCCAAACTCGCCGGAGATCCCGTGCCGATTTCCTAGGCCGTGTGCGCGCCACGTTGGCGGCGTGTTATGTTGGCGACGGCGGTCGGCACACGACGGCACCGGCGAACAAAAACGGAACACCGGCGCCGGTACCGGGTGCGGCCATGAGGCCCGGGTGCAGGGTGCCGGTCCAGCGCCGCGGGTGCCGCGCACCCCGGCGGCACCCCGAGCCTCTGGGCAGCTCACGGGCGGCCCGTGAACCCCAGCCGATTCATTGGGAGGGCAGCGCAGCTGACCGCGGTGCGCGGTGCGCGCGTGCGACCCGGCCGTCGCTGCCGGCGCTGGGCCGGTCGGGTCGAGTCGCGCGCGGTGACCGCGGGGCTCAGAACCCGCTATTGATCGCCGATCGAAAGGTCCGCTGCACTGGCGGCGGCAGGGCGCACCCAGTGGCGGCGGTAGCAGCTCGGGTCCCCGGCGGCGGCAGCCGTGACTGTGACCTTGAGCGGCGGCAGCGGCGGAGCGGGGCGCGGGGCACCAGCCCACTCCCACGATCCGCCACGTGCCACGTGCCGCGCCCCGTGGCAAGATGGACGCCGTCGGTGGGCACGGGCCGTTCGCTGGAGAGCTGCCAGCGCCGGCGGCCGCGGCGGGGACCGACACGGCGACACGGGCAGGAGCCGGCGGACCACCTGAGAGACCTTGAGAGGGACCGTTGGACCGGCCGGCCGACTCAGCGACAGGGGCGTAATCACAGCATCGGGGGCGGTTAGGGAGCACACAGACACGTTCAAATATTTTCACGATGGCCGACTGACAATGACCCAAAATCATGACTGGAAAATGAGAAATTCCTCAGCACCAACCACACCTACACAAGTCCAGCCAACAGATTGAAATATCCAAATAAACCACACAAAACATATCAAAAGGTTTGACAAGCTGACGAAGGAAAAGTCAAAACCGATCAATTACGAACAAAGAAGAGCTAGCACATCCAACTCTGAACATCTGTCCATTGGACGGTATGTAGCCTCTGCAAGTCTGCAGTGTTCACCAAGTGCCTTGTAACGGCGTAACGGTAGCGGTGTAGCCTCTATCCGACCCCGTCCGCCCTATCCTTGCAGTGACACGGTCCGACTCACACCAGCTGGCCGGCAGCCACGGGCGGTCTGAGGTCGGTCTGAGACAGTCAGAGGCTGAGTCTGAGGCAGCAACGGCCAGTCTGAGGCAGTCAGAGACCAGTCTGAGGCAGTCAAGAGTCTGAGTCTGAGACCGCATATGAAACTAAGACAGTCTCTGATGCTGGCCACGGTCGGTCTGAGGCTGAGGCAGACTCTGTAGCTGCCCACTGGCGGTTTGACGCAGTCTATGAGGCGGTTTGACGCAGTCTATGAGGCGGTTTGACGCGGTCTGTGAGGCGGTTTGATGCAGTCTACGAGGCTGGTCACGGTTAGACTGAGGCAGCCTGACTTCGGCCGTTGTCGACATAAGGCAGTTTATGCACGAAGATTTGCCATGGATGATTTGACCGTCGTTTTCAAAACGCAACATACACACAAAAGGTCCAAGGAAAACTGTGTACACAAGATACGGTGGGTATCAAGCGAAAAGGCAGTCCCTGCCTGGTGTAAGCCCCGTTTGCGCACCCCGCACAGCTGCGCCCACTGGGGACAGTCGGCTGAGTGTACCGTGACAGCAGAGCTACTGGGAAGGGGCGTGGGCGGCGACGGGTCGGGGGTCGTTCGCCAAGCAACGCAGCCCCACCTCGACCCAGTTGTGTGTGCAGTAGATAGGTGCACAGCACACAGGCCCGTCACGGCTCCCGGCCGGCCGGAGACAGGCTCAGGTGATACCTACTCAAATAATCTGCGCGTATGTACAGGCCTAGCATGTGGAGCATTAGCAAACGCTGGCACATTTTTAATCACGAAAAAAAAAGAGATAAAGCACATGTAATAAGCGATCATATGCGTCGAATCACCATTCGGCCCTGATTGTCACGCGAAAGATGTCACAGGTCAAAGTCATTTGGGTTAGGGTCATGACATTTCCAAAACAGATGTTTGCTTGAATGTATGTTCTGAGCTCATCTAAAAGCAAATCTTCAAACAAACAAAAGATAACCAAGGAAACTAAAAGGAAGCTGTAGTACTAAGACGGCCAGAGCAGGACCCAGGAGGTAAGACAGAGCCTGCTGCAGGAGTTAATACAATTATATATCACTGATTACAATGTGCATTACAGCTAACTAAGGGAGGACTGCTGTACATTGTCCTGGACTCCTGATTACAAATATATACTTTTGCCTTTTTAAAGCAAAGCCTGAGCGAGCAAACTTATTTTAGCTGGACCTCAACATTCTGGGATGAAAACTTGAATAAAATTAGAGCCACATAGGATTCTTAACAATTAAAACTGAAAAAATAGCATCAATGATCACGATGCAAGCATTCATATATTGTTCTACACCTAGATTGTCGATTGAGGAACTAACCTTTAAACCAACTCGATTTTCTCTTTAAGATTTTGCTGGCAGTGCTGCTCTTGTACAGTGCAAGCCACAAAGCCACCAATAAAAGCTACTGGTGTTGATACTATGCAGAAACCACATACAACCTGTAAAATAAATGAAATTCAAGTAAAACATTTTTCAACACTCACATCATCAATGAAATTATCAAATCCATGAAATACTTGAGCAGGCAGGGGAACATTTGATTGACTTGACAATACATATGAGAAGGATGCAGATATTGAACCTTATACATTGTACAATGGAATCCGCTTAAAGGAACTATCCCACCTTCTAAAATGTTGTTAAAACCAGTTAAATTGTGCCCGACTTTATAGATTGGATGACCAGGAACACGGTTCTGGCATTTATTTTTCATTAAACATCTTAGGCTTCCCATATTCCAAACACAAACTTTCAAATACACTACACCACACTTTTGAACCATTTTAAAATCCAGTCCATCAAAGCTCGCCTGATTCAAACCGACATGAGGTTCTTGCAGTCTGTCATGCATGACCGCCTGGACTGCCAGTATCTTGTATCCGTGTTCTCGCTGGCTGTTCCCTCACGACGCACCCGTCACACTGGCATGTTCCATGTGCCGGGCGGGCGAGTGAAATCTGTGCGTAACGGCTTCCTGTCGCGGTTACCGGAAACATGCAACGCGCTTTTGAAAAAAGCGCCAGGGACTGATTTCTTTTACTCACCATCTTCTTTTAGATCTCAGGTTTTTAAGTTCGCAAACAGTGAGGGTTCCTACTGATGTCCATGGTTGAGGCAGGGGTGCTATCTACGTATGCTTAATCTACGCTGTCTAGTCATTCATCTTTTATGTTCGTGAATCTTTTATGTGCCCCATGTATGTTATGTGACTGCAGCCGTAAGTGGGCCTGGAGCCTGTGGTTGTTTCGTGCGTAATAAACAATAAACAAATATGTGACGTCACAGCCCAAAATTACCTCCTTCCCAGGCCACATTACTGTCATAAAGCTGATTCTTTTTACTCTGTAGGCACCACAACAAAGTTCAGACCAAGTTTTAAGCGATTTTTCAACGAACAAACCCATTTAAATCAGAATGACTAAACGAGGTGACGTCAAACTAACGGTCGCTCCATGTTGAAGATAGGGCCTTGCGCAAGGCCCATTTTCAAATGAAGGGAACGAATTTCTTCAACACCAAGAGGCCGCGGGGGTTGCAACCTAGATAGATAGTGGTTTCTGAACCTCGCCGCAAACTTGGCTATCTCAACTCAAACCCCATGTTAAAGGTGGGATAGTCCCTTTAATAAATCCTAGGATAATAAATCCAGCCGCTTATTGTGGCCGCTTGAGCTGTTCCCGGGTTTTCTCCATAGATCCCCATAGTTAATAAAACTGCCTAATAAATCCACACACTCCGCTTAATAAAGCCACGTGGGAGTTTCGTCCGTGGTGACGTCTCCCCACTCGAAATGTTTTTTTTTTCCAGCCCGCTCCCAAACAACCACCCTGGAGCAACGATCTGCAGCTGAGTTAGAGTTCTAAAAATACAAGGAGTTCAGGGCTTTCAAGAGCGCAATCACTATGCACTTCAAAGAAATGTTCCCGGCAAAGCAGGCACGCTCGGCTATTCCGTTGGCATGACAGGCATGACGGGCAGTGATCGCGGATGGATGTGTTGACATAATTGGTGTTACAGCTGTGCAGTGTGCGCTGGTCACTTTCAGTGGCATTTTTACGGTCGCAGGTTTGAAGGATGTCCAGCCCTAAAAGGCACGCCTTTATAAATTACGCTGCATTACGAAAGTCAAATTATTGGAGGTCCGGAGTCCGGACCCGGCGACTCCACCCGCGGTGGCGGAGACCCTGGTCACTTTTATTTGGAATATGTAAGGCAATGCTGCTATCTCGGATTTCGCAATTTTGAAAATTTCGAAAATTATCAATACCAAAATTCCAAGTTTGTTTTATTCTTTTTCTCAAAAAGCTTTTGACTTTTCGAAAAAAAACGGAATATATGTCATAGAACACATGCTTATGACCTACTCTAGCATGTTTTGGCCAGATATCTTCAAAAATGGCAAAGTTATACGCATTATAGCAAAACTTTCACTATTATAAATTTTTAAAATCGATTTTCAATACGTATTTGACATTCTAAAACAAAATAAAGAGCACCATCGTGTACCTGAGCTCAAACTGCATCTGATACTGATAGACACTCCTTTTTTTGAAAATTTTCAACTTAGGCGACACTGACTTCGGAATCTATGGCCTAAATGGACCATAAAACATGCGTCACGTGACCGACGCATGATATAAGATTCCCGTGACCTGTGATGACCTGACCCTGACCTGAAAATCAGAGTACAAGTTTGGTACCCTCAGGGCTCAGGATATCTAAAGCATCTGTTCACGAGTGTGTAAACAAAAAATGAGCCTGATCTGACTTGTAAGACGACGGCCAGAGGGCAAAATGTGAACGAGCCAAACATCAATAATTTATATTTTGACCTGACCTGTCACTGTGACGTCATCGGTGACCTCGAGGTCAATGAAATTAGGTTTCGCACGACAAATTTTCCGGGACTATCAGACACCGTTTGAATTTTGACGATCAGCCCAGTAGTTTCGGAGTTAGGAGGGGGGCTATGAATAGCCCCCCCCCCCAGTAGGGCGCGTTACACGCAAACCCCAGTGGGGCGCGGGTTAAATGTAGTGTGACCTATATCTTCACCATTATGTCATTTCAAAAAATGATAAAATATATCATTCAATGCCAATGGTCAATTTCCTCGTTCAACAGTCTAGATAATTTTATGGAGATTTAGTAGATACTTAAATAAGCATGCTGCAGTTTTTTTAGGTGTGATGCTGAAACAAGTTTCAGTGGGCAAACGTGGGCAAACCAAAAAATTGCCTTTTGTTCCCATAAATGGGAATACTCATTTTATAGTTCCACGTACTGATTTAGTCAGATAAGAAAATTTTACTAAATCCATAGACTTTGATGTTAAATGGACTATGTATATGTATATTTGAGAGGGGTTTAAGAAGAAACATAGCCAGATGCCAGTTTTTCCAACAGAAAAATAGCCACCTGCCATATTTTTTTGCCTAAAGACCGCTTTATATAGTATATACGGAGCATAAGTGCGATGGGCACGCCAGTGGATAGGGCTTTACCGCTTCGCTCGGTATGTGAAGAGGTCTTAAGGCAAAAATTCAGGCAGGCAGCTATTTTTCTGATGGTAAAACTGGCCTCAGATAAAGAAAAAGTTGAATGATATGGTCTTGTAGATTAAAGCGTCTATATCTGCATCTTTTGAAGTTTTTTTTTAGCTCAGGTAAGCATTTATTTCAAAGCATGATTATAATTATTATTAGCCAGATGCCAACAGAACGATGCCCAGAACGATACTTGTGCCTGGAGCCTCGTCAGACTGTTGACATGCGATGCTTTCAATCAAGGCCATTCATAGGCCCCGTCGGCTGAAAAACTGATCTACTCGTAGTGTATGTAGGTATAGGTGTGTCAGTGTGTGTGTGTTTGTATGTACGTGCATATGCGTGTGTCCGTCAAGGATGTTGTAATAAATTGATGATAATGATGATGATTAGGTACCTATTATTATTATTATTATTATTATTTCAACATCAATGGATTTAAAATCTACCTACCTGAACATCTTCAACCATGGAAACTGCAAGAAACTTATTGCAAATAGATCTGCAGCTAAAATGGCTTCTTTTCTCCTGTCCGGAGTCACTGGTAGTGTATCGAAATAAGTCATCGATTATTAAATTTTTCATGTGCATATGCAACCACGCATGCATATACTGCTCGGTGGCACCGTCAAGCAGGGATGGTTTGGAAAAGGATTCGCAAGTTAGTATTGTTAGAATGAGGACAGTTAGTGTTAAAGGTTTGTGTAGGGTTTAGAATCTATATGCATAAGAGTGACAAAACTCATTAAAATGTTTTGACAAATGTTCATCATTCCACTAAATGATTTTCTGAAATCAAAACAGAAAAGAACTGAAAAGTGAAAAGTGAAAAGTTTCAGTTCTTTCCTTTCAGTGAAAAGAACTGAGGGGTGTTCACGGGCACCGCACACTGCTGCGTGCGGTGTGTGCGGTACGTCCAGCAGGCGTGGGGGTAGGGGATGGGTAGGCGGCTCTGACGTCACGGCTGCGTGCGGTGGACGGTCCGCTGTGGCCAGTCCCGACCGGCCACAGCGGTCGCTGTGTGCGGTGACGCAAGGCTGACGTAGGGACGCAGTGGGCGGAGCTTGGAGGCTGTGTGCGGTCCGACCGCACACAGGGTCCGTGAACAGCCCTCTGAAATGATTTTCAGCTGTCGCAACAAATTTAGCAGCTAATTTGCCATTAGTAAACCCACAAGGGCTCTGACAATAAATGAAAAATTATTCAAGCATTTTCAACTTACCTTCGTCGGGATCCACACCGAAATAAATGTAGAAAGCGTGATAAAATTGATTTAATAATCAATTTTATCACGCAACAACAACGCAGAACACGCGCTATTACGTTCATAAAGTTGGCTTCAAATTCGGATTCGGATTCCAGCACCACATTCGTGGAAAAAATGACAAAAACGGACCCCTCAGAATCGATTTAAATTAACAGGATAGATAGAGCAGGACATGCTTATTATGAAAATAAATTACCTAGGCTTGGCACCCCCTAAGAACTGAGGAATCTTAGGTCAAAGTTCAAGGTCATTCTCGGCGGACCCTTTGGATTCTCGTAAAAATTGGTACAACTATAGTCCATGAAGAGTTGATTTCAAAAATATCAGTATCTTACTTTGGCAAGCAGCACGAACTGATATATAGTAGGTCAAAGGTCAGAATCAAGGTCACGTATGTGTAATACAGGAAGTGGAAGTGACCACGTGGTCAGGTGAGAAAGGAGGACCCCTTAGATTTCAATAATTTTTTGCTCAATGATGCAACCAATGTTGGAGATGCTACTGCTGGTTTTTCTTGTTTTGGCAAGGTCAAACTACGGAGAAATGACGGGTCAAAGGTCAAGGTCATTTTCAGCGGACCCTTTCGATTCACATATAAATTTTTATCCCAATACAATTTTTAATTTTGGTTATTATTCTGCGTATTGTTAGGCTTGGCAGGTCTTAAATTATTTTAAAATATTTAAATAATTTAACCTTTAATTCACCTATCCCAACATGGCTACCGTGCGAGCACCTATCAAAACCTTGATGAAAATAATAAACCGAAAATCAGTGCTGCCAGATTTGGAGGATTTCCGCAAATCTGGAGGATTTTGAACTCTATTTGCGGACAAATTTCGCTTTTGGAGGATTTTTGATTCTGGAGGAAAATCTGGAGGATTTGTCGCCCGATTATTATACTCAATTTCATGGAAAAATATAACACATTTAAGACTCAAAAGGCATATTTCTGCCCAGCGTCACCCTACCCGTTAGGATATATCTTTGCCCTTTATCACCGTGAGACTGGAATGTCTCAGCCTGTAGCTAAATCTAGTATCTACGAATAACATGGTGACTATTTGTTCCTCCTACTTTGTGTACGATTGTACCGTATGTTTGTGAGGGTACCGAACTTCTGGCGGATCTAAGGGGGGACATTTGGGGCAAATGCCCCTCCCCCCTGCAGCGCCCAAAATCGACGAAAATGTTCGTTTTTTCGAGGATAAAACGAAAACTAAACTTTTCTTAGAAAAAAGTATCTTTTAAACTGCACAGCAGTGCGAAAGGAGTCGAAATCCGATGAGTTTTTAGAATTTGGAGAAACTTTTTGGGGGTAGGTATGCCCCCCGCAGCGTCCAAGACCGCTTTTCTGGATCCGCCAATGAGATTTGGAGGAATCTGGAGGATTTTTGTAACTGATCTGGAGGATTACAGCCTTCTACATCTGGCAGCACTGCCGAAAATCTGAGAAACGCGATTTGACCTTGGACGTGCCCCGTGCCAGTGCACTGGCCTTAGGGGTGCTGAAGAACTTGATTTGGTAGGTATAGTGTGTTTTGGTGTGGGTTATTGTAATTTTATTGTATTGCACGTTGCCTGATTTGCGACACAACTTACAAAATTGAAATAGCAGTCGTAAGTAGTGTCAGTGTCGCAAGTTGACCTTGCCTTGGGGTATACCGAATAGGTCACAGGTCATTCGGGTCATTGCCTCGAAATTTACGTGGTACGTGTAAAATTGTTTGAACTTGAGATCCTGAAAATTTTGTTGCAATCCATTGATGCTAATGCAAGTTATAGAGCTTGAACTGACAGGTCGTTTATGAGGCCTCCATCCATGCCGGCGAGGCAGCAAGAGTGTTGAAAATGGTCCATAATATGCTATTTCACATTTATTGGGGTATTCAGGAATTGGAAGTAGCCTAACACCATTCCAGCAACTACTGGCGAATCCAGAAAGGCGGTCTTGGACGCTGCAAGGGTCATCCCCCCAAAATTCTCCCAATTCCAAAAACGTGTCCCAGATGACCCCCATGACCTCCAACGAGCTCTGCGATGACCCCAAGTTGACCTTTTTGACCTGACGTGTCCCAGATGACCTCTGTGACCTCCAGTTTAGCTCTGATAACTCTAAGCTGACCTCTGTGACCTGGCATGTCCCAGATGACCTCCATTTGAGCTCTGTGATGACCCCAACTTGACCTCTGGGACCTCACGTGTCCCATATGACCTCTGTAACCTCTAAGTGATCTCTCTGATGACCCCAAGCTGAACTCTGTGACCTGACATGTCCCAGAAGACCCCCAGTTGAGCTCTGTGATGACCATAAGTTGACCTCTGTGACCTGACGTGCCTCCAAGTTGCCCTTTGTGACTGACGTGTCCACCTGCATCAGTGGTCTCCAATTGAGCTCTGTGATGACCCCAAGTTGACATCTGTGACCTGACGTGTCTCATATGACCTCCAATTGAGGTCTCTGATAACCCCAAGCTGACCTCTGTGACCTGACATGTCCCATATGACCTCTGTGACCTCTAAGTGACCTCCCTCATGACCCCAAGTTGACCTGTGTGACATGACGTGTCCCATATGACCTCTGCGACCTCTAAGTGATCTCTCTGATTACCCCAAGCTAACCTCTGTGACCTGACGTGTCCAAGATGACCCCCATGACCTTCAATCGAGCTCTGTGATGACCCAGGTTGACCTCTGTGACTTGACATGTCCCAGATGACCTCCGTAACCTCCAATTGGGCTCTTTGATGACCCCAAGCTGACCTCTGTGACCTGACGTGTCCCAGATGACCTTCAATTGAGCTCTGTGATGACCCCAAGTTGACCTCTTTGACTTGACGTGTCCCATATGACCTCTGTGACATCAAGTGACCTCTCTGATGACTCCAAGCTGATCTCTGTGACCTGACATGTCCCAGATGACCTCCAATTGAGCTCTCTGATAATCCCAAGCTGACCTCTGTGACCTGACATGTCCCATATGACCTCTGTGACCTCTAAGTGACCTCCCTCATGACCCCAAGTTGACCTGTGTGACCTGACGTGTCCCAGATGACCTCCGTGACCTCCAATTGAGCTCTGATGACTCCAAGCTGACCTCTGTGACCTGATATGTCCCAGATGACCTCCAATTGAGCTCACTGATGACCCCCAAGTTGACCTCTGTGACCTGACGTGTCCCATATGACCTCTGCGACCTCTAAGTGACCTCTCTGATGACCTTAAGCTGACCTCTGTGACCTGACGTGTCCCAGATGACCTCCGTGACCTCCAATTGAGCTCTGATGACTCCAAGCTGACCTCTGTGACCTGATATGTCCCACATGACCTCCAATTGAGCTATTTGATGATCCTAAGCTGACCTCTGTGACCTGACGTGTCCCAAATGACCCTCAGTTGAGCTCTGTGATGACCCCAAGTTGACCTCTGTGACTTGACGTGTCCCATATGACCTCTGTGACATCAAGTGACCTCTCTGAAGTCTGATGGCTCCAAGCTGATCTCTGTGACCTGACATGTCCCAGATGACCTCCAATTGAGCTCTCTGATAGCCCCAAGCTGATCTCTGTGACCTGACATGTCCCATATGACCTCTGTGACCTTTAAGTGACCTCCCTCATGACCCCAAGTTGACCTGTGTGACCTGACGTGTCCCAGATGACCTCCGTGACCTCCAATTGAGCTCTGATGACTCCAAGCTGATCTCTGTGACCTGATATGTCCCAGATGACCTCCAATTGAGTTCACTGATGACCTCCAAGTTGATCTCTGTGACCTGACATGTCCCATATGAACTCTGCGACCTCTAAGTGATCTCTCTGATGACCTTAAGCTGACCTCTGTGACCTGACGTGTCCCAGATGACCTCCGTGACCTCCAATTGAGCTCTGATAACCCCAAGTTGACCTCTGTGACCTGACATGTCCCATATGACCTCCACGACCTCTAAGTGACCTCTCTGATGACCCCAAGCTGACATGTGACCTGACGTGTCCAAGATGACCCCAATGACCTTCAATCGACCTCTGTGATGACCCCAAGTTGACCTTTTTGACCTGACGTGTCCCAGATGACCTCCGTGACCTCCAGTTTAGCTCTGATAACTCCAAGCTGACCTCTGTGACCTGACGTGTCCCATATGACCTCTGTGACGTCTAAGTGACTTTTCTGATGACCCCAAGCTGACCTCTGTGACCTGACGTGTCCCATATGACCTCTGTGACCTCTAAGTGACCTCTCTCATGACCCCAAGCTGACCTGTGTGACCTGACGTGTCCCAGATGACCTTCGTGACTTCCAATTGAGCTCTGATGACTCCAAGCTGACCTCTGTGACCTGATATGTCCCAGATGACCTCCAATTGAGCTCACTGATGACCCCAAGCTGACCTCTGTGACCTGACGTGTTCCATTTGACCTCTGCGACCTCTAAGTGACCTCTCTGATGACCTCAAGTTGACCTCTGTGATTTGACGTGTCCCATATGACCTCTGTGACCTCAAGTGACCTCGCTGATGACTCCAAGCTGATCTGTGACCTGACATGTCCCAGATGACCTCTAATTGAGCTCTCTCATGACCCAAAGCTGACCTGTGTGACCTGACGTGTCCCAGATGACCTCCAATTGAGCTCACTGATAACCCCAAGTTGACCTCTGTGACCTGACATGTCCCATATGACCTCTGTGACCTTAAAGTGACCTCCCTCATGACCCCAAGTTGACCCGTGTGACCTGACGTGTCCCAGATGACCTCCGTGACCTCCAATTGAGCTCTGATGACTCCAAGCTGATCTTTGTGACCTGATATGTCCCAGATGACCTCCAATTGAGCTCACTGATGACCCCAAGTTGACCTCTGTGATCTGACGTGTCCCATATGACCTCTGCGACCTCTAAGTAACCTCTCTGATGACCCCAAGTTGACCTCTGTGACCTGACATGTCCCATATGACCTCTGCGACCTCTAAGTGACCTCTCTCATGACCCCAAGCTGACCTGTGTGACCTGACGTGTCCCAGATGACCTCCGTGACCTCCTATTGAGCTCTGATGACTCGAAGCTGACCTCTGTGACCTGATATGTCCCAGATGACCTCCAATTGAGCTCTTTGATGATCCTAAGCTGACCTCTGTGACCTGACGTGTCCCAAATGACCCTCAGTTGAGCTCTGTGATGACCCCAAGTTGACCTCTGTGACTTGACGTGTCCCATATGACCTCTGTGACACCAAGTGACCTCTCTGATGACCTCAAGCTGATTCTGTGACCTGACATGTCCCAGATGACCTCCAATTGAGCTCTTTGTTAACCCCAAGCTGACCTCTGTGACCTGACATGTCCCATATGACCTCTGTGACCTTTAAGTGACCTCCCTCATGACCCCAAGTTGACCCGTGTGACCTGACGTGTCCCAGATGACCTCCGTGACCTCCAATTGAGCTCTGAGGACTCCAAGCTGATCTTTGTGACCTGATATGTCCCAGATGACCTCCAATTGAGCTCACTGATGACCCCAAGTTGACCTCTGTGACCTGACGTGTCCCATATGACCTCTGCGACCTCTAATTGACCTCTCTGATGACCCCAAGTTGACCTCTGTGACCTGACATGTCCCATATGACCTCTGTGAACTCTAAGTGACCTCTCTCATGACCCCAAGCTGACCTGTGTGACCTGATATGTCCCAGATGACCTCCAATTGAGCTCACTGATGACCCCAAGTTGATCTTTGTGATCTGACATGTCCCATATGACCTCCACGACCTCTAAGTGACCTCTCTGATGACCCCAAGCTGACATGTGGCCTGACGTGTCCAAGATGACCCCCCATGACCTTCAATCGAGGTCTGTGATGACCCCAAGTTGACCTTTTTGACTTGACGTGTCCCAGATGACCTCCGTGACCTCTAATTGAGCTCTGTGATGACCCCAAGTTGACCTCTGTGACCTGACGTGTCCCGTGTGACCTCTGCGACCTCTAAGTGACCTCTCTGATGACCTTAAGCTGACCTCTGTGACCTGACGTCTCCCAGATGACCTCCGTGACCTCCAATTGAGCTCTGATGACTCCAAGCTGACCTCTGTGACCTGATATGTCCCACATGACCTCCAATTGAGCTCACTGATAACCCCAAGTTAACCTCTGTGACCTGACGTGTCCCATATGACCTCTGCGACCTCTAAGTGACCTCTCTGTTGACCTTAAGCTGACCTCTGTAACCTGACGTGTCCCAGATGACCTCCGTGACCTCCAATTGAGCTCTAATGACTCCAAGCTGACCTCTGTGACCTGATATGTCCCAGATGGCCTCCAATTGAGCTCACTGATGACCCCAAGTTGATCTTTGTGACCTGACATGTCCCATATGACCTCCACGACCTCTAAGTGACCTCTCTGATGACCCCAAGCTGACATGTGGCCTGACGTGTCCAAGATGACCCCCCATGACCTTCAATCGAGGTCTGTGATGACCCCAAGTTGACCTTTTTGACCTGACGTGTCCCAGATGACCTCCGTGACCTCCAATTGAGCTCTGTGATGACCCCAAGTTGACCTCTGTGACCTGACGTGTCCCGTGTGACCTCTGCGACCTCTAAGTGACCACTCTGATGACCTTAAGCTGACCTCTGTGACCTGACGTCTCCCAGATGACCTCCGTGACCTCCAATTGAGCTCACTGATGACCCCAAGTTGACCTCTGTGACCTGACGTGTCCCATATGACCTCTGCGACCTCTAAGTGACCTCTCTGATGACCCCAAGTTGACCTCTGTGACCTGACATGTCCCATATGACCTCTGTGATCTCTAAGTGACCTCTCTCATGACCCCAAGCTGACCTGTGTGACCTGACGTGTCCCAGATGACCTTCGTGACCTCCAATTGAGCTCTTATGACTCTAAGCTGACCTCTGTGACCTGACGTGCCCCAGATGACCCTTAATTGAGCTTTGTGATGACCCCAAGTTGACCTCTGTGACCTGACGTGTCCCGTATGACCTCTGCGACCTCTAAGTGACCTCTCTGATGACCCCAAGCTGACCTCTGTGACCTGACGTGTCCAAGATGACCCCCATGACCTTCAATCGAGCTCTGTGATGACCCAAGTTGACCTCTGGGACTTGATATGTCCCAGATGACCTCCGTAACCTCCAATTGGGCTATTTGATGACATCAAGCTGACCTCTGTGACCAGACGTGTCCCAGAAGACCCCCAATTGAGCTCTGCGATGACCATTAAGTTGACCTTTGTGACCTGACGTGTCCCATATGACCTTTGTGACCTTTAAATGACCTCTCTGATGACCCCAAGCTGACGTCCGTGACCTAACGTGTCCCAGATGACCCCCATGACCTTCAATCGAGCTCTGTGATGACCCAAGTTGACCTCTGCGACTTGACGTGTCCCAGATGACTTCTGTAACCTCCAATTGAGCTCTTTGATGATCCCAAGCTGACCTCTGTGACCTGACGTGTCCCAGAAGACCCCCAATTGAGCTCTGTGATGACCATAAATTGACCTCTGTGACCTGACGTGCCCCCAACTTGCCCTTTGTGACCGACCTGTCTCAGATTGCCTCCGTGGTCTCCAATTCAGCTCTATGATGACCCCAACTTGACATCTGTGACCTGACGTGTCCCATATGACCTCTGTAACCTCTACGTGACCTTTCTGATCACTCCCAAGCTAACCTCTTTGAGCTGACGTGTCCCAGATGACCCCCATGATCTCCAACAGAGCTCTGTGATGACCCCAAGTTGACCTCTGTTACCTGACGTGTCCCTGATGACCTCCGTGACCTTTATTTGAGCTCTGATGACTCCAAGCTGACCTCTGTGGCCTGACATGTCCCAGATTAACTCCAATTGAGCTCTCTGCTACCCCCAAGTTGACCTCTGTGACCTGACGTGTCCCAGATGACCCTCAATTGAGCTCTGTGATGACCCTAAGTTGACCTCTGTGACGTGACGTGCCCCAAAGTTGCCCTTTGTGACCGACGTGTCTCAGATTGCCTCCGTGGTCTCCAATTGAGTTCTGTGATGACCCCAAGTTGACCTCTGTGACTTGGCGTGTCCCATATGACCTCTGTGACCTCTAAGTGACCTCTCTGATGACTCCAAGTTGACCTCTGTGACCTGACGTGTCCCAGATTACCCCCATGTCTCTCTCTCTCTCCTCTCTCTCTCTCTCTCTCTCTCTCTCTCTCTCTCTCTCTCTCTCTCTCTCTCTCTCTCTCTCTCTCTCTCTTTCTTTCTCTTCACGTGCCGGTGTCGCGGATCCTATAGGCAAATTTTGTACATACCAATGTTGATCCCCAGTCTCTGACCGGACATGTATTTTTACTTCCCGCAGGATGCCGGCGGCGGCGACGACAGTGCGCCGGCGCACATCTCTATGGAGGTGGACACGGCGACCCGTGGGCGACCGCCGCTGCCGCGGTTTGCTACAGGTGGCCATGGCCACTAATCTGTCACGAACTTCTGACAGTGAACGCCAGTCGGTTCTCGGATGTGAGGACGCGCCCGTCGAATCAAGTGACGGAGATGCACCGTGTGACAGTGTGCGTTTTCCGGGCGAGTTCGTTGCGCTGTGTGCCGGTCGTGCGCGGGACTGGTACCACCCGTCGTTCCACCAGTTATCAGTGCTGCAGCGCGCCGTGCGCGATCTCAGTGCCGCCGTCGAGGAGACTGTGCGCCGCGAGCTGCCGCCCGAGGACCGGCCGGCGCTGACCCGGCTGTAGCCGCTGGCTGACGGCGCGCTGTCGCTGCGTCCGCCGACCCTGCGCCGGCCGCGCCGGGAGGCCGAGCTGCTGACCCAGCTGCAGCAGCTGGCGGTGGCCCTGGACGGCGCCTGCCCCCTGGTGGCGGGTGGCAGCTGCGGGAGCCACGTGACGCCGTCTGCGCTCTCGGCAGCGCGCCACCTGGAGCCGCATGCAGACCGCGTTGCCAGAGCTGCGTCGTCTGACGTCGGGTCTGCTGCGACTGGTGACGCGCCAGAGGACGCGCTGGTCACCGCCGCGAGCCCGGATCGAGACGGACACGGAGACAGTTCCGAACGGAGCCTCCCTCACCAGGTGGGTCCTGCGGCGCCAATACTCGTCCGCAGGTGGGGCGAGATGGATAGGTATCTGAGCACTTGGGAGGGCAGTTGTCGGGTGATGACCCACGAGGTCACGCAAAGTAAGGGGAAGTAACATGAGTATGCAAGTGAAACCGCTTGATTGCGATGACCTCATGTGACCTCACCTAACTTTCGTGTGACCTCCCCGACCGTAGGACAATGCGTGATCTTGTTTTTTTTTTTTTTTGCTCGGTTTTATTGAATGTTTTCACATGTGTAGACATCATACACTACAGTCCGGGATCTGTGCAAAAGCTTTTCAGCTTATTTGCTTATTTCATGGCACCTCTCCCTCACACACTCACGACGTCACACGTCATTCACGACGAGAAAAAAAAACTTGTTTGACTTTGTGGGGCGTCGCCAGACTTATTATAGCTCATCTGACCTCTACTGATTCTTTGTGATCTCATATGACCTCTAGAGACTTCGCATGACCACGTGAGCTTTCCTCAACCTCCTTTTATCTCGCTGAACTTTGAGTGGCTTCTCCCACCCTCGCCTGACTTCCTGTGACCTCGTAGGACCCGTCGTCTTCGTGTGACTACTTGTGACATTCGTTTGTTTTCCTGTGACCTATGCCGACTTTTGTGACCTCGCCTAGCTGTAACCTCGCTCCTGTCAGCTTCTGTCAGCTCCCGTAAGCTCCTTGCAGCTCCCGTAAGCTTCTTTCAGCTCCCGTAAGTTCCTTTCAGCTCCTGGCAGCTCACGATAGCTCATGACAGCTGCCGTAGGCTCCTGGCAGCTCCTGTCAGCTCCCGTAAGTTGTATATCTGATCCCACCCTGACCATATTCCTGCCCTCACTTTCTTTGACCGTCCATTGTTCGTCGGTCGCCAGGAGAGCTTGACGCTGCTGCGAGCACCACAGGGCTACTAGCGGTACGTCACGTGCTGCTGGTTTTCTAGAGACGGATGTTTGCTGATATTAGGCTGTTAAGACTGAGCCGTGATGCAGTGGCCGGTGGGAGTGCCGGCGCCGGTCGTGGTGGACCTGACGCCCAGCGCTCCGCTTCGCGCTGCTACCACACAGGTAGGGTTCGGCACACCGACTCCCGATGGCTACGTGGACAGTGAAAATATTGCAATGCTATGGTACAGGTAGAGTGACCGTTCCGTTCTTTGTCAGGTCTCTGAATGGAGCTGCGTTCCGGTGGGCGGCTGACTGCGCTCTCTCGGTCTGGCCCAGTACGCCGACGCGTTCGTCGCCCGCTCTGTGGATGGCGCCCGGCTTCTGGGGCTCACCGAACAGGCTATGGAAGACGAGCCTGACGTCGGTGAGAGATTCACATTGCTAGCTGAGAAGGTGGATGTGACTCAAATTATTCAGTTCATAGCCTGATTTATTTAGCTTAATCTATTTGTATTAATCGTATTGCCACCATTAACCTGACTCCTGACTCGTGATTGTGGTTGCCTCAGTTGTAGGCCTTAAGTGCACCGCATTTTGACAGGTCTCGACGTGGCGACCTCGGAGCCAGCGTGTTGGGTCTCGGCTTCCCGCCACTCACCGGCGGACCTTTCCGCTTCGTGGACCGCATCGGTCCCGCACAGCTAGTCAAGGACATGGAGCGCTTCGCCGTCGTCAATGGCGTCGGCTTCGAGCCGTGCCTGACCGTGCACTACCAGGCCGCTAGCGGCACCAAGTTCTGTTCGGCCGGGCCTCGTGTAATGCCCACATGTGATGACCGAGTGTATACGCATGTGAAGCCGCTCCGCGTGTGTACCAGCGCTGGGCGTGTTCAGTTTCAAAGTAAATATAGAACCCTGGTGATCAAGCTACAGCTTTTGACGAGAAATAGAGTGAGGTCATTTTGAAAGCGATCAGACGGTAGCGCCGCCGTTCTTTGGCACGCCTTAGCATGCATCTGTGCTACACTAAAAGTTTAGGCTCGTGTCTTTCAAGGTCAGCAGGGTGAGGGCACCAGGTACTTCAAGTGGCCTCGTCTCAGGTAGAGTTCTAATACTCGTTCTAATACTACCAACACATCTAGTCAAGGAGCTGAGTTGAAATCGAGGGGATGGGGGGCTGTTCAGCCCCTTCACTGGGAGGTTCACGGTTCAGCCCCTCCCCCACCAGGCGCGAAAATCTAGGAGCCCCAGCGTGGAGTGAGATATAACCTTTTCGACGGCACGTGATCGGGCATTGCATCGAATGACACTGGGCGATTGAAAGATGTTTCAGCTCGCTTGTCAAGGCAAACATTTATTCACAACGAAAACAGACATAGGCACATGTGGATTGCTAATGGATAATGGATAATGGCAACGGGTAACACCCAGGTCGTGCACCGTTTGCTGGAGAGCCAGCGGCTGGTGCGTCCCGCGCGGGGTCGCCACGGACGCCGTTCGTCACCCAGACAGCCGGCGGACCGGCGGACCGGCCGGGACGCCTAACGACAGACACAACCACCCCTCATGGCTATGTAGCGGGGACGGGCTACCAGTGAGAGGTCACGGAAAGGTCAGCTCATAATGTGCACGGCGTGACATACAGTGTTAATGTCATCCCGCGGTCGCCGGACAGTGAAAAATTGGACAATGACATTTCGCCGTCAAGACGAGCTCTACTGTCTACAAGACACAAGTAGTCTACATACGCTCAGCGACGAGCGCAGGCCGCCGGAGGATCTCGACACGGTGCTGGCGCTGTGCGCGCGCCGCTTCCGCTCGTATATATTGTATTATCAGCTTTAGTATGTAGTATGCATTATCAGCATTTTTTTATATAGTATGTATTATTATTATATAGTATGTATTACCAGCTTTTTTTCCAAAGCTTCAGAGTTGTGTCGCCCTCGCCACCACCTCCACAGGCTCCGCCCGCGCCGCTGCCGCCCCATCTACTCGAGGAGCAGCGAGCGTAGGTACGCCGCGCGACTGCTGGAGGTGATCGAGAGCGAGAAGTGCGGCATTAGCGCCTACGCGGCATTATATACCACCAGCAGACAGGATTTGATCTCTAGCAGACAAGCTTCTATCGGTGCCCCGCGCCGTCTCTCAACAATCGTCCACAGCCGCGGCTCCTGTGCACTGAGACGCTGTCACGACCGCGTCGTATCGCTACTGGAAGCCAGCCCACTGCCCGGTCTCTGCCGCGTCTCCGGCGGTTGGGACCTGTGCCGGGGGCGCCTCCTCCAACAGATTAGTGGCCATCGCCACCTGTAGCAAACCGCGGCAGCGGCGGTCGCCCACGGGTCGCCGTGTCCACCTCCATAGAGATGTGCGCCGGCGCACTGTCGTCGCCGCCGCCGGCATCCTAAGGGAAGGAAAAATACATGTCCGGTCAGAGACTGGGGATCAACACTGGTATGTACAAAATTTGCCGATAGGATCCGCGACACCGGCACGTGAAGAGAAAGAGAGAGAAAGAGAGAGAGAGAGAGAGAGAGAGAGACATGGGGGTCATCTGGGACACGTCAGGTCACAGAGGTCAACTTGGAGTCATCAGAGAGGTCACATAGAGGTCACAGAGGTCATATGGGGCACGCCAAGTCACAGAGGTCAACTTGGGGTCATCACAGAACTCAATTGGAGACCACGGAGGCAATCTGAGACAAGTCGGTCACAAAGGGCAACTTGGGGGCACGTCAGGTCACAGAGGTCAACTTAGGGTCATCACAGAGCTCAATTGAGGGTCATCTGGGACACGTCAGGTCACAGAGGTCAACTTGGGGTCATCAGTGAGCTCAATTAGAGGTCATCTGGGACATATCAGGTCACAGAGGTCTGCTTGGAGTCATCAGAGCTCAATTGGAGGTCACGGAGGTCATCTGGGACACGTCAGGTCACACAGGTCAGCTTGGGGTCATCAGAGAGGTCACTTAGAGGTCGTGGAGGTCATATGGGACATGTCAGGTCACAGAGGTCAACTTGGGGTTATCAGAGAGCTCAATTGGAGGTCATCTGGGACACCTAAGGTCACAGAGGTCAGATTGGAGTCATCAGAGAGCTCAATTGGAGGTCACTGAGGTCATCTGGGACACATTAGGTAACAGAGGTCAACTTGGGGTTATCACAGAGCTCTGTTGGAGATCATGGGGGTCATCTGGGACATGTCAAGTCACAGAGGTCAACTTGGTTCATCACAGAGCTCGATTGAAGGTCATGGGGGTCATTTTGGACACGTCAGGTCACAGAGGTCAGCTTGGGGTCATCAGAGAGTTCACTTAGAGGTCGCAGAGGTCATATGGGACACGTCAGGTCATAGAGGTCAACTTGGGGACATCAGCGAGCTCAATTGGAGGTCATCTGGGACATATCAGGTCACAGAGGTCAGCTTGGAGTCATCAGAGCTCAATTGGAGGTCACGGATGTCATCTGGGACACGTCAGGTCACACAGGTCAGCTTGGGGTCATGAGAGAGGTCACTTAGGTCATCTGGGACACGTCAGGTCACACAGGTCAACTTGGGGTCATGAGGGAGGTCACTTAGATGTCACAGAGGTCATATGGGTCATGTCAGGTCACAGAGGTCAGCTTGGGGTCATCAGAGAGGTCACTTAGAGGTCGCAGAGGTCATATGGGACACGTCAGGTCACAGAGGTCAACTTGGGGTCATCAGTGAGCTCAATTGGAGGTCTTCTGGGATATATCAGGTCACAGAGGTCAGCTTGGAGTCATCAGAGCTCATTTGAAGGTCACGGAGGTCATCTGGGACACGTCAGGTCACACAGGTCAGCTTGGAGTCATCAGAGAGGTCACTTAGAGGTCGCAGAGGTCATATGGGACACGTCAGGTCACAGAGGTCAACTTGGGGTCATCAGTGAGCTCAATTGGAGGTCTTCTGGGACATATCAGGTCACAGAGGCCAGCTGGGAGTCATCAGAGCTCATTTGAAGGTCACGGAGGTCATCTGGGACACGTCAGGTCACACAGGTCAGCTTGGAGTCATCAGAGAGGTCACTTAGAGGTCACAGAGGTCATATGGGACACGTCAAGTCACAGAGGTCAACTTGGGGTCATCACAGAGCTCAATTGAGGGCCATCTGGGACACGTCAGGTCACAGAGGTCAGCTTAGGATCATCAAAGAGCTCAATTAGAGGTTACGGAGGTCATCTCGGACAAATCAAGTCACAGAGGTCAACTTGGGTCATCATAGAGCTCGATTGAAGGTCATGGGGGTCATTTTGGACACGTCAGGTCACAGAGGTCAGCTTGGGGTCATCAGAGAGGTCACTTAGAGGTTGCAGAGGTCATATGGGACACGTCAGGACACAGAGGTCAACTTGGGGTCATCAGTGAGCTCAATTGGAGGTCATCTGGGACATATCAGGTCACAGAGGTCAGCTTGGAGTCATCAGAGCTCAATTGGAGGTCACAGAGGTCATCTGGGACACGTCAGGTCACACAGGTCAGCTTGGGGTCATGAGAGAGGTCACTTAGAGATCACAGAGGTCATATGGGACATGTCAGGTCACAGAGGTCAACTTGGGGTTATCAGAGAGCTCAATTGGAGGTCATCTGGGACATGTCATGTCACAGAGATCAGCTTGGAATATCCAGAGAGGTCACTTGAGGTCACAGAGGTCATATGGGACACGTCAACTCACAGAGGTCAACTTGGGCCTTGGGGTCATCACAGAGCTCAATTGAGGGTCATCTGGGACACGTCAGGTCACAGAGGTCAGCTTAGGATCATCAAAGAGCTCAATTGGAGGTTAAGGAGGTTATCTCGGACACATCAAGTCACAGAGGTCAACTTGGGTCATCACAGAGCTCGATTGAAGGTCATGGGGGTCATCTGGGACACGTCAGGTCACAGAGGTCAGCTTCGGGTCATCAGAGAAGTCACTTAGAGGTCACAGAGGTCATATGGGACACGTCACGTCACAGAGGTCAGCTTGGAGTTATCAGAGTTAAACTGGAGGTCACGGAGGTCATCTGGGACATGTCAGGTCAAAAAGGTCAGCTTGGGGTCATCATAGAGCTCGATTGAAGGTCATGGGGGTCATCTTGGACACGTCAGGTCACAGAGGTCAACTTGGAGTCATCAGAGAGGTCACTTAGAAGTTAGAGGTCACAGAGGTCATATGGGACATGTCAGGTCACAGAGGTCAACTTGGGGTTATCAGAGAGCTCAATTGGTGGTCATCTGGGACACCTAAGGTCACAGAGGTCAGATTAGAGTCATCAGAGAGCTCAAGGGGAGGTTAAGGAGGTCATCTCAGACACATCAGGTAACAGAGGTCAACTTGGGGTCATCACAGAGCTCTGTTGGAGATCACGGGGGTCATCTGGGACACATCAGCTCACAGAGGTCAACTTATGGTCATCATAGAGGTCACATAGAGGTTACAGAGGTCATATGAGACACGTCAGGTCACAGATGTCAACTTGGGGTCATCACAGAGCTCAATTGGAGACCACTGAGGCAGCTGAGACACGTCGGTCACAAAGGGCAGCTTGGGGGCACGTCAGGTCACAGTGGTCAACTTATGGTCATCACAGAGCTCAACTGGGGATCTTCTGGGACATGTCAGGTCACAGAGTTCAGCTTGGGGTCATCAGAGAGGTTACAGAGGTCACTTAGAGGTTACAGAGGTCATATGGGACACATGAGGTCCCAGAGGTCAAGTTGGGGTCATCACAGAGCTCAAATGGAGGTCATCTGGGACATGCCAGGTCACAGAGGTCAGCTTCGAGTTATCAGAGCTAAATTGGAGGTCACGGAGGTCATCTGGGACATGTCAGGTCAAAAAGGTCAACTTGGGGGTCATCACAGAGCTCATTGGAGGTTATGGGGGTCATCTGGGACACGTTTTTGGAATCGGGAGA